AAAAATAAAACAAATAATGAAAAATTATTGAAAGAGTAAATTCCTTACAAATTTGAAAACAACAGTAAAATGCCTAAATACTCTTTGGCTTTTATACTTCCTTAACTTGATTATATGGATGCCCTGAATACTACTCTACCATGGGCTCTTATTTGATCCTTGCACTTTTACAATGTTTTCTTCCCTAACCTATTTCTTTTCATACAACTTTTAATTCCAATTCTGCATTTCTTTTGCTTTTGATGTTAAAAATCAACACTTTTGTTCTTAACATACTAGACTTATTTTAGTAGCCTTACAATATCCCTGGTGTTTATACTCTATATGCATACGTTGTGTCTTAGTAGAGAATCCCAATAAATTGTCTTGCATATCTTGCATTTATGAATCTACAGAATAAATTCCTGGTGGTGAAACCTATGGATCAAAAGTACTGTTGAAATTCTGATAAGAATTACCAAGTTGTTCTTTATAAAGCTCTCTCAATTTCCATAACCACACACACCATCTGAGAGCGATTGTGCCTTCTTCCATTCACTGAGTCATCTTTGTGATCTTTTCCAGTCTGATGCATGAGAAAGCTTCCATGATGAGCATTCTACTCAGAGATTACATTCAGTCACGCTCAGAGGACATCGCTGAGGATTAATCTCAAAAGAAATGAAGTAACCTGGCCATCAAGGCTAAAACATTTCTCTCTTTCCTGTTATCTAGTAATAATGTTTATTTATTCTAACTATTCTGCATCCCTATCTTTAGGGTTGGTAATTCTCAGAGAAAATGATAATGACTGATCACAGCTGACATTTTAGCATAAGAAATTTATACAGAATTACTAAATACCAGCAAAAGAGTAATGTTGTTAATAAACCAAGACTGAATCGAAAGATTCTGGCTGTAGAACACTGGATGTCTTCCACGAATCTCACTATGCCTATGGATTTTTGTTAATAATGCCATCTGCTCAGAAATCACTTCAAAGTCAAGTCTGCATATTAATATATTATTATATCCGATCATGCATATGTAGTGGTAAAGAATTAACATAATCTTCAACAAAAAACTTGAGTGATAAAAGAAGAAGCAAAAGAAAAAAACCTGAAGTTTGTAATAACCACTGGGGTCTCTTTCAGTTTTGCCATTCTAAGAGAGTAATGTTTTTAAACTGACTGCATATAACTCTAGAGTTTAAAGATACATTAAAGCATCTCCTATTTTGTACATTTTTAAGACAGAGAAACATTTTTAACATGCACATGCTAACACTGGGTAAGTGTATGATTATAATCATAAGGCTCAAGTTATATCTATTTTGACTTATTTTTAGATATTACAATAATTTATAGAAAGGTATCCTGCCTGTCTCCAAAAAGCTAGATCACCTACTTTTAAAACTCCCTATTTATTGTTAATTAGACGACAAAACACTTTTCCAAAAAATATGTATTGGAATTTTACCATGATTCTTTAACTAGAAATGTGCAGTAATATATTTTTAAGTAATAAACATGGAGACACTAACTTCCTTTCAAATTTTGTTAATTTTTGTCTCCTAGCAACACACAAGGAATGCACTTAAGGCTCACTTGGAGAAAAATGGTCAGTTAATTTAATTTTAAATTTGGTAGGATAATACAACCTCATCCAAGTTAATGTGAGAGGAATACACATACTGTTTATGAACAAACAAGAAACCTCGTTCCATCCAGTATTTTATAAAGTGCCCTATAAAGTGCCCAAATAACTCCAGGCTAAGAAAGTTGAGAAAGATGCAATTAGGTCTTATTTAATAAGACATAACGTAGAAATGAGACATTCAGGCTTTGAAGCTTGGATGTAACTGCTCTAATTTTGGCTTTCCAGAAAGGCAACCAAGCACTGGCAGTCATAAAATACCCTTTACAGAAAAGACTAAAAGAAGCCTAAATGGGGCACCCAAATCAAAGCCTTCATCTCCCCCCACCCCTAACCCCCAATCATTCTCAGGTCTGCAAGGAAGAACTCAGACCTAGGAATGGGTATACCTTTAAGACCTGCAGAGACTGGGAGGGTGGACCAGAGGCAATGGCTGCAGTCTTATTTGCATAAGCACCCAAACACTTACTACGTCACCACGCTGGCCTCTAGGCCCCGCCCAGTCTTACTCCAACCTCTCTCCACTAGGGTGGAAGATGAAAGGGAAAGAGAGAAGCCAGATTTGCTGTGTTAACAAGCACATTCAATGCCATTTCTCAGCTCACTGGGAGAAAAAAAAAAAATCCTCCCATGGAGCCTTTGAAAGCGGGCCGGTCTCTCTTGCCACCCCCACCCCCCAACACACACCGCTACCTCCACCAAGTACCCCTATGGGATCCGGATTCATTCCTTTGCTTAAGGCTGGTGCATAAGTTAGGAATGTATGGCTTTCGCTCCAGTGTACAACATTCCTATATTCAAATCGTTCTGCGCTGTCACACACAGACGAGTCGAGTGGATGGATGAACTACGTAGAAGGCGTAAGGGCATCCCCCTCCAGCCGGCTGTTCCTTAAGATCCCAGTGCCACCATCCTTTCCGCAACCCTTTCTGCCACCCTGTCCAATTCCCGGATGCGCAGAGACGCCCGAAGCTGTGCTTTTCTTCAGCAGCCACGTGCTGAGTGTATGCCTAAAGACGGGTTTTCGGACAACCCGTCACAAGATGCCTCAAGCGAGAGAGAATCGAATCCGGGTCACGAATACACTGCCTTGATAGACTGTGCGGCTGTGGCCAAGGATCCACAACCCCTCAGGAAGGAGGCAAGGGTCTCTCCCGCCTCACCTCCCACCCTTATGAGGATGGGATTCCCATTTACTTTAGGAGCGCATCTCTGCCCTGGCACCAACTTTCCTCTCGGACCTCCGCTGGTGTCAAACCCTGCCCTGCAATCCCCAACTTGATTTGGAAAGGAGCCGGTCTCCTCGGATGCACTAGGCAGTTTCCACCTAGGTTAGGAAGGATGGAGGCACGTTTTGACCCACGTGCTTCTCCCCACAAGTACCGCCTCGGACCGGACCCGCACCACCCGAACCCCAGTTCGCACAGGTGCAGGACGCAGAGCCAGAGGGTATCCTCAGAAACCAGCTTCACCCTTCCACGTTTTCCCGTTGCCCTTCCTCCTCCCATCCCAGGATCCTGTCTGAGTCTTTCTGGAGCTCCATCCGTGCATCCCGCTGTCCTTCCTGGCGCCTGACTCCCGGGTAGCTGATAGAGAGCCCCACCCTACCCACCGCGGTACCCCAGCACCGGAGGGTGACATTACCTCTGGTGCTTCTTGACCCAGCACCTCTTACTGTTTCCACCTTCCTAGGTCGAGAAAGGGTCGGATCCAGGTGATGGTGGCAGAGGCCTCAGAGGAGCTGTCTGGAGAGCAGAAAAAGCTTTCCAAGGGCAGGCTTGATTTCGGGGAGTCGCTGTCCTGCCGCCTGGCACCAAGAGACTCGTGAGCGCCTGTGTCTGCCAGAGAAATGACACGGGATGCTGGTGCGCGGTTCCCGGGGCTCCTGTGCTTGTGTGCGTGAGTGTGTTTTGGTGTATGTGTGTGTGTGTGTGTATGTGTGTGTGTGTGTGTGTGCGCACGCGAGCGAGCGTGTATGTGTGTGAGCGTGTGTCTGTGTGTGTGTGTGTGTGTGAGTGTGTGTGTGTCTGTGTCTGTGTGTGTGTGTGTATGAGTGAGGGTGTGACGGAGGCTCCCACGTGCCCAGCCCGCCTGTGCTGCGGCCCCCCGACAGGTTGCGGGGGAGAGGAGGTGGTTGCGGGCGGGGACCTGGCGCCAAGGATGGAGCCAGGTCTGCAGGCTGGGAGCCGCCTCTCCTCCCCACCACCCCATGACGCAGAGGCCACTGCGGCTGCCCGCTGCGTCCTCCCAGCGCGCAGGGCTAGGCCGCCGGGATGCTAGGTGGATCTGGGGAAGCCCCACGTAAAGCCAACAAAACAGATTACCCCTCCCTTCTCCCTCCCCCACCCCCCACCCCCCGAGCCGTTCTAACATCTGTCTTCTAACCCACTCTGCTGAAAGGATGGACACTAGTTGCCTACCCGGGCTTTGTCTCTGGGAGGACAGTTGCAAGGATCCTGCTCTCCGACTCTCCTAGAATCAGTAAGGAGGGAGTCTAGAGATGAGGGATTCTGGGCTTTCTCCCCATGCCACCATTTACATATTTTGTGGATGGGGGGGGGGAAGCGCTTGCAGCTTTGCATCTCAGCTGAGTACTGACAGCCTCAGGGATTCTGGTTAGGTTGTGCAAAGTTAAAGTGGTTTTAAGAGAGCTGGACCTCACTCTAGGTTTGCGTCCACGGATTAGATTCTTTTTTTCAAGAGGGGTGTCCACTAGCTGAAGTCTGACTTACCTCTTGCGATAGTCAAAGCATCCTTTCAATTAGGCCACGTGGAGAATTCCTAAAATAAATACATATCGATTATCACGGAGTTTTGCCTCCTTTGTAGAATCTCTGAACAGTTCCTAAACATATTACCTAGGCATTAAATGAATGGTCGTTGAAACTTGAAATTTTTGAAAGAAATTTGAAAAGAAAAAAAAAAATGACCCTAGAATGTATTACTGAAGAATGGCTTTCGTTCTTTAGCGAGGTACATTTCTTTATTTCTACATGATTAATATTATCAGTAGAAATGTCTGTGCCCATGTAGGCCTTGCAAAGATCCCTTTGGTTTTGATTGCTTGTATCCAATTAAGGCTGACTTTGGTAGTAAAGCCACTATTAGATAGGGTTTCACTAAGTGAGAAATCTTGGGGATTTCTTGGAGAGAAATCACAAGACCTGAATTTCACGTCAGAACATTGCCACTAATCCCTGTAAAGGAACCATGAGTGCTTTCCCCATCTGCCTCTCTTCAACCTCACCTTTAAAAATAGATATTAAACCAAGGGCAGTGGTGGCACACGCCTTTAAACCTAGCACTCGGGAGGCAGAGTCAGGCAGATCTCTGAGTTTGAGGCCAGCCTGATCTACAAAGCGAGTTCCAGGACAGCTAGGACTTTTACCTGTCTCCAAAAATTTAAAAAAAAAAAAAAAATTTACCCTGTCTCCAAAATTTTTAAAAAAAAAAATTTAAATGTGAAAGTTTGTCTCTAGGAGGCTCCCTCATCTGTTAGTGTTGATGCTTTTCAGGAGAAAAAAAAAAAAAAACAAAGGAAAAATTGAAAACATCTACAAGGAGCTTCTTACTGAAGATTTTAGATAATAATGTGGGTTTTTTTTCCCTCACATACTGATGACAGGCAAATGTTTACATAGACTTATACATTGCTCTAAATGTTAAAACAGAAATCTTAATAGTCTAGGAAAAGAACTTCAGAAAATGGATAGTACTGTCCTCTAAAATCAAGATTAGGTTTATCTGTGAGAGAAAAGTGACAGATTTGTTCCCATGAATATTTTCCTTGAAACTAGTGCTTACTTAAAGTCCATGTTCCTGATACTATTCCAGTGATAATCAAACTCTTCTTTAAATGCATGGAACAAGCTACTTGTCACAAAATATAATGATGCCCCTAATAATGACTGGTATTTCATGTCCAAAAATAGAAATTGAGAAAACAACTGAAATGCTGAACTTATGGCTAGGGAGCTAGGGGTTTTAACTTATTTTCCTTAATCTCTTCAACTAGTTAGTATAGCAAATTTTCCTAATTCAGAGAATTGAGAAAGATGACACTCAGAGAAAAAAAAAGACTTCAAAATTTACAGAGCTTGTTAAAAATTAAGCTTAGACCTGCTGTCTTCTGTAGATCTGGCCCCAGTACCAGCTTTGAAAGAGTTTGTAAGATTGTGTTAATTTACAGATTTCTTTAATGAGAGGAAAGGGAAAAAATTAACAAGAGTTAGTCACCTAGAAAACAAGAAGTAGACTAGGGTTAGAAAGGTCCTGAACACAGGCAACTCCAGTCACAGGTAAAATGTATTTACATTTTCATTTTAACGACATTGCTTCCAAGATTTACAGCACAATTCGCTAATATCTGTCATGCTAGCAATTCCAACTTCAGCATGCTGTACAAAATGACCACTTGGTGCTGATGTGGAGGAGGGGACGGTACTCCGACAGAGAACAGAAGCCACTGGAAGATTATGTCAAAGCAAGTAAAGAAAGGTTAGTCTTTCGGGCCATACTATTGAAAACAGTAGCAAGTATCAAATCTATGATCAATGTATTTACACCCCATGAAATCATTTATAAATCTTTTATTTAATACTCCTACACTAGCCCGTGAGTGATTTATAAGCACTCTTATAATTTCAATTTTACTGCTTATGATTTATAACAGCATTTTTCCTATGTGTTGATGTTTATGATATAAATTCTGTTTTTTGAGTTTTTGAGTTGTATTTTGTACCCTGACACATGTTTATTCTTTTTCATTAGATCAGGCATATTGGCTTCAAAGGAATATATATATATACATATACATATATATATATATGTATATATATATATATGGAGAGAGAGAGAGAGAGAGAGAGAGAGAGGTTTCAGTGGATATGAGCACTCACTGCACTGAACATGAGGACCAGAGTTTTTATCCAATCACCCACATAAAAACGGAGCCAGCATTGTTGGAAGCAGGGGGATGCAAAGACAGGAGATCACCGGACCTTGCTCGCTGCAAGACTAACTCTAGGTCCAGTGAGAAATCCTGTCTCAGAGGGGCGAAAGCTGAAGGTAATGGAACAGGGAATCTGACATCTGGCTCCTATGATTACAGGCACCTGAGCTATACAAACACACACATACATACATAGACCCACACACATGAAAGAAAAAAAACATGTGTTTGCTTTTTATTTGCTAGGTTCAGTTTTGTGCATTTTAAATCTTTGAATATGCAACCTTCACTTACAAAGTCTCATGTGACTGCATAATCTTCTCCCAATCTGAATTTTAAAAAGAAAATATGTGGTTCCTTCTCATTTCATAGTTGATTTGGATTTGACCTCTACAATTTCCAGGAAAAAGGTTGGCTGCGTTTAATCATATGTATTCTTACATCTGAGCTAATGTGTTTCTAAAGAGGATTCAGAGTTTCTTAATAATCAAATAGATTAGAAGAAACTCCCATAACAAAAGTCATTATTAACAGAAAAGAGATGAAAATAAAATAACATTTAAATTTAAATAGTTAAAAATATAATATAATAGGCTGACAGAACTGCATACAATACCAACACACACACACACACACACACACACACACACACACACACGGTGGGAGACTGACTTTTTGGTATAAAACACCTTCATCAGCGCTATAGTTACTTTGGATTTTAAAAACCAGAGCCTTTGAATCACGGAGAGAATATTTGAGATTTTGATAAGTAATAAGAATGTCAATTAGCAGAAGATCAGATCAAGATTTGTCAGGACCCAAAGGTGAAAGAAGGCCATCATTCCTGACCCTAGCCTCCCAGTTTTACCTTATTAATGGCCTCCATCTCACAGCATTATGGAAGGGGTAAACTTACAGGCCCTTGTTTTACGAGGCCATACATTGGATTTAGTTCTGGGGAATGTGGAACTTTTGTCTCTCTGGTATACATTCAGTCAGAATGTTTATGGTTTTGTACAGATTATAACTTGCTACTTCTGCCAATTCCACAAATCCAGTGTTGGTGTGAAAAGAAACATGAGTAAGGAAACCTCCTCCTGTGTTTAACACAGACCACATTCAGCAGTAAATACTTAGTTTATCTGCTATAAAGTAATTTTTGATTCTGATCTAGTGTACAGACGAGCTGAAAATAGATTTATTTAGGGGAATTTTTTTTTTTGCATTTTCCAAATGTCTTCTATGCCCCAATCTTACAACCATATTTCTTTATCAATGATTTTGGAGCTTCTTTTAGGACCCAGCAACCAGGGGCATCATCGGCTGATTATTGGGTATCAGTCTACAAAATTAACCACTAACGATTCACAACACAGCACTCTAAGGTTATAGCTATTTCTATTGCCCATTTTTGTTGTTATTGTTGTTTTTAATCAATCTGCTAAAAGAGAATCCATGTTGCATGAGGATCCCACATATAAACAAAGGCAAAGCTACTCAATATAAATCAATGAGACATGAAAGAGAAAGCCTGTAGAGAAGGAGGCACAACAATCAGGGATGTCACAGTTTGACATATAAGTGACCTAAATTCCCATCAAATTTCTGCATCTGAGGTTGTAATATTACAGGCCTGCATCCCCTATTTCACTAAGTTTCTGCCTTGCAACTAAGAGTCCATTAATACTTCTCAGACTCAGTTTCACCACTGTCCCTTAATTTTTTTTTAATTACTGTTTCTTCTGAGATTATCATCTCATTTATCACTCTAGGGGAATTATTCAAAGTTTAAACCACAGAATCTAGAATGGATAGCCTTCCTTAAGGACTGTGCACCTAAGATATATAATATCATAATGTTTTTAGTTATTCTTTTTTTTGTTTTGTTTTTTGTTTTTGTTTTTGTTTTTGTTTTTCGAGACAGGGTTTCTCTGTGTAGCTTTGCGCCTTTCCTGGAACTCGCTTTGGAGACCAGGCTGGCCTCAAACTCACAGAGATCCGCCTGGCTCTGCCTCCCGAGTGCTGGGATTAAAGGCATGCGCTACCACTGCCCAGCATTTTTAGTTATTCTTGATGTGATCATAAAAGTGGAGCTTCATAAACATTTTAGGAAAGACACTTAGTATAGGAAATATAACTTTAAGTATGTGAATGAAAACTTGTAAAAAGTAAAGGTTTAGAACTATGGTGGTTAATGTTGTCAGTAGGCAGACTGTGGAATCACCTGAAAGATGAGCCTTTTAGACATGATGGTGGTGGTGGGGGTGCATCTTAATTAATTTATTTGAACTAAACCAATGTGCTACTATTTTCTGACTGGCATGCTGGAGCATGCTGGATTGTAGAAATAGAGAAAAGGACTTGAACAGCAGGAGACATTCCTTGGCCTCTGCTTCCAGATTGCGGATGTGATATGATCAACTACTGTTAGCTTCTGCCTCCTTGACTTCCTTGTCATGATGGACTATATCCTTGAATTGTGAACCAGAATGAACTCTTCTTCTTTTACATTAATAAAAAAAAAAGTACTTTATCAGAGTACTCAGAAAGGAGTGCTACGTGGAGAATCAGATAGTCACTGGCATTTTCAGATCCAAGCAATGTATAAGTACAGATTCAGGGAAATTCATGAGAAAGGCAGCCTCCTATTTATTTATTTACATTTTTATAATTTTTCAATTGTTCTGAACAAAGACAATGTATTCCAACTCACAAATAAAAACATAACACAAAAAGGTTAAGAAAGACATTCAAACATATGCCCTGTCCCCGATTTTATACATTTCAGTCAAAGTTGATGTGGTTAGAACAACCTTTCTGCAGCAGTGGAGTTTCACTTGGTATAAAGATATCTTTCAAAGAATATTAGTGTTTAACACAGTCATTAGAAACTAGAGGGAAGGAAATTATTAGAAATAAACATCCATTAACTATAAGGAAGTGTGTGGTGATATTGTATTTGTGATAAAATGTAGTGATATTTTATTCGTGCTTTAATAAATAAAGCTTGCCTGCAGAACAGATGAAAAAGCAAGCCATTTTAAGTAAATAAAGAAGTCAGGCAATAGTAGCACACACTATTAATCCTATCACTTGACAGGCAGGGATCTGTCTGGATCTCTGTGAGTTCAAGGCCACACTGGAAACAGAGCCAGGTGTGGTGGCACATGCCTTAAATTCCAACACTAGTTAGCCATGGAGATCTCAAGGTCTGTACAGACAGACAAGAAGGGACAGAGCTGGGCAGGAAGAGGAAGTGATGTAGCTGGACAGAGAGAGCAAACGAGATGGCAGAACAGCAAGGCATGTAGGCGTGGGTAGACAGGAAGTAGGTGCATTTGGAAGCTGCCAAGTTGGTGAGGTAAGGTTAGCTGTGGCTTTCCCTCTATATCTCGCTCCTTGTTTTTTATTTAATTAGACTGTTTAGAAATTAGTCCACAGAAGTAGGCATCTTTGTATCTATTTCTACTGAAGTGTAGTGCTAACTCCTGTAGAGGGGGCACAAAAGACCCAGAAAACTCACAAAATGTATAAGATTCAGAAAGTTGCAAGAGTCACATGCCCTCCCCCCGCCCCAGTTATGAGAACAGAAAACAACCAATGGAGCAAGGAGACTGGTAGAGCTGCCTAAAAGATGTGAAGCGAACTCCAGGGATGCAGCTTCATAAACACATCAGTGGTGCCAAGGTGGGCTTTTACGAGATGCAGCTGTCTTTGCCCGCCTATAAATAAACTCACTAAGATGACTAGTTAGCTAGGCTGAACTTGGACAAAACCAGGTCTTTGGTCTTTTGATGCCCTATATGGAGTGAGTAGATGTTTGTCATAGCTCCACCGGCAAAGCCACACAATGCTGCAGTATCAAAGAGACAAAAGGCAATCTCACTAAAAGTGGCATATGACTGCTAGTGACACTTTGGGAATTCCTCTTCATCCATGGACTTCCTTCTCCTCCATCTATTCCTTCTTATTCTTATCTCTCTCTCTCTCTCTCTCTCTCTCTCTCTCTCTCTCTCTCTCTCTCTCTCTCTCTCTCTCTCTCTCTCTCTCTCTCTCTCTCTCGTCTGTCTTCTATATCCTTCCTCCTGTCTTGTTTTTAGTGACTTACATTAGACGTTATTTTAGGCTGTGTTTATTTTACAAAGTGAAGTGTGACGATTTTATATCTTATTAAATTGCTGAATAGCATGCATGTATCGTTTAGGAAGAATATCTTTTTAGAGAGGTTGGAATCAATTAGCTTACAAAACTGTCTGGGCATAGAAGCCTTTCAGTGATAAGTCACATTTCCCAGTCTTTTAAAAACATCTGTCTATTTAGACTTATTTCTTTCTTTGTAGTCATCTTGAAAGTTTCCTTTAGAAAAGAATCACAATATCAACAAATTTCAAATATACATAACACTATTAACTATCTTTAAAAATAAGTTATCTCACTGTGCTGCATTTTAGTGAGTTCAAGCCACTAGAAGAAGTTATCATAGATTGGTTGCCTGAAATAATAAACATTTCTTCCTCCCAGTTCTAGAAGCTGAAGTGTATTGTAAGCTGCTGCCGAATGTGGAGTTTGATGAGATGTCCTTCCCGGACTGCAGAAGCCAAACTTCTTGAAGTATTCCCCATACAACAGAGAGAAGGGAGAAGCAGAGCAATCTCTTGACTCTTTTCCTGCTAAGGACACTAATCGCCTTAATAAAGGTTGATCTCTCATGATACAATTACCTAATTATGGATTATCTCATACCAGCTTATGTTAGCCAGGCTTCCTGCCCAATTCCCTACATCAAAACCTCAGTTGCTCACAACACAATGAATGCTTTTTGTTTGTTTGTTTGTTTGTTTTACTTGCTCTATAGTTCTAAAACTATGGTTTCTTCTGCTACGTTTGGTGCCATGTGTCTTCTCGCTCTGGACTTTACCTAGAGAAGAACACTTCACACAATGTTCATCTCTTGCCTTAACAAGAAGGAAGAGCAAGAACTCAAACTGAATCACGCAATAAGCACTTGATGCTCTTACAGGTTAGCCAGGTTCAGGTCCTGGCACCTACACTTTGGCTAACCAAGTGTAAGTCCAATTCTGATGTTTTGTTCTGGCCTCTGTCAGTAGTGCATGCATGCAGAAAACAGACACATGTAGGCAATCACCCAGACACAGTGAACAAACAAATAAACAAATAAATAATATCTAGAAAATAAAGTGTGTGACAGCCATGCTTTCACTTTGTATAAAGAACATTCAAGACATTTTGACACCCCCCAATCTTTGTTCTTTGGAAATGAGAATATTATATGTATTTCTATAAATCCTGGGATTTCTGTGCTAAGTTTTTCATTTCTTCTTTCAAACGAATAAATTTTGGAAATACAGAGATAGCTCAGAAGTTAAGAGAATATATGTCCTTATAAAGGACTGGGCTTCAGTTTTCAGCACCCATGTCAAGCAGCTCACAAACGCATGAAACCAGCTCCAGGAATATTCTCTTCTGGCATCCATGGGTACTGCATTCACCTACACAAGCTTGAACATGTGAAAATACAGGCACTTATAATTGAAAACACAATCTTATTTAAAAGAATAAAATCTTATAAAGTTAACCAGTAAGGAAAAAAATCTTATATTAATCTCTTAATTTGAAATATTTTATTAAGCCAAAATGAAAAATGGTATTCACTTCCAAAATATATCTCCCATAACCATGTGTTCTTTGGATTGATTGTCTATTTTGGAGATTACCGAATTGATCAGATTTACCAAATATCTCTCTGTTGTTTCATGTTGGTTATTGTTTTCCTGGCCTTTGGTAACCATTAGCCTTAGACTCATTACTTGAGCCAAAGTGAATATCCCATGCATAGTTTGTTTTGTTACTGTATTGTTTTGTGTTAGAATACTGCTTAGATCAATTTACACTGAGTCAGCTTTGTGACATATCAGGCAGGTTTCAGGTGGCTTCTGACTTTGAGGCACAGGATAAATGGCCAGTGGCTGTGTTGGACATGCTTATTCATCAAGCAAAGAGGAAGGGTAAGGCCAGAAACCAATACATGCACTCATACTTAAGTCTGTTAAGAATGGGACATGTTCTTGTTTTTGTATTTCTGAATTTGCTAAATTCAACTCCAAGTCTTTTATCCTCTTGAATTTATTCATTTAATGATTTTTACATCTCTTGCTCTTACTGATGCTGATCCGATGTTTCTATTTTTCAGTCTTTTATATTTTTCCATTTTTTTCTTTTATAAGGAGAGTATCTTACCAATCACACAGTGATGCTCCTAATGTGTTGCTCACTGTGATGACATTCCCCCAGGTGCTTCACCAGCCTTCTAAAAGTTGTCTGTTGCCTATATCATGTGCCTAAAAGTTGAGTTGCTTTCAAATACGTAGTGTACTAAGCCGTGTGTGCCTGAACTCCCTGACACATGAGGGGCTGAGATATTTGGGCCTGAGAAAACATGACTAGGCTGGACACCATTGCAAAGCTTTATATTCTTCTATGAATACACTCAAATTCTCACACTCACATTATCTTTCTTCATGGTTTTTCTACAAGTCTGAGTACATTTATGATGATATAAAAAAGGTTTATCATGAAGTGACACAATAAAGTCAAAGAAGAAAAATTAATACTCCTGTTGTTTTCTGTCTCTATACCTGATCAGAATTCATCATCATCATTTCTTCTAAAAATTACTTTTTAGATTTCAGTATGTATTCAGAAACCCCTTTAGGATTTTATTTTACCATTGCAGTAGGACCCAAAAATAAGAAAATTGCCTGTGTTCATATATCATCTTACCCAGCAACATTATCTGAATTATACATATAGAGTATCTTATATGATTTGAATAATACATAAATCACTCTTGTGGTAGGCTGCCTTTTGTCCGATGCAGAGGTGTTTAAAATATTCAGTGATGCATGTCACATAGGGAAATAAGTGCAAAAGATGAATCTTCTGGTGCTAGAGTAAAATTGCAAGCTTCCAAGTAAATTTTATTTATATGTATATATAAATATTATTTATAAATTTATATATTATAAATTTTATTTATATATACATATATATAACTTAAATATATACCTTCAGTTTAATTTAGTCGACTTTCATGAATTTTATACAAGTATAGAAACCTAAAGGAAATACAACCTCAGTAATGAGCTGGATTTCATGTTTAGAATTCTCAATACTGTTGTCCAAGCAAAATAATCAGCTTGTGAAAGGAATGGATTCATCTAGATGTGGTGCTATGTAATATCAGATGAGCATAGAAAACAATCTCCTGTCACAAAGGTGGTTACAATGATAGACTTATACCAAAGGAAACAAAGAGTAGTTGGAAAGACTAAATTTGCTACATTTTTGGAAATTTTGATCTTGGAGTTAAATAACAACAGTAATTTAATGTTACTCAATAAGCAAAATAAAATACAAGGTCATAGTTACAGGATACAAATCAATAATTATGAGAGAACAAATTGTATTTTCAGATATTGAAATGCAAAATAATGACATGATTGGAATGAAGGACAGAGAACTACCATTGTGTAAACAGGAAAGCATTAATTGATTCAGGTAAAATAAGCTCTGATTTCTAAGAACACTGATTAAAATATTTTCTAAAATTTTTTATGAAAAGTTATGAATATATAGATTCCTTACATAAAATTGAGAATTTTCCAGGACATACGTGTGTGTGTGTGTGTGTGTGTGTGTGTGTGTGTGTGTGTGTGTGTGTACACATTGCTTATATTCTTCCATTCACATTTTAGTCTATGAGGTTAATCACACATTATAATATTAGAAAGATATACTAGGTATCTGAATTCAGGTCCTAACACAGAACCCATAAATCTTTGGTAACTTCCTGAGGAATGGCAGTAGCTTTCATTCTAAAGTGACTACTATATAGCTTCAGGTTAAAGTTTAACCAACAGAAGGCTATGCTGTGATTAGAAGCACTGAACTTTCAGCCACACCTTCCATTTTTAGGGTTGGGAAGAACAGCTGTAAATTGAGTTAATAATCAGTTATACTTGTGGAATGAAAATCCTGTAAAAGTCAAAATACGAGATGATGAGCCCCCAAGTTGAAACTACCCATGCGTCCAAAGAAAAACACCCTGATTCATGGAGACTGAAGTTCCTCTGCTTGGGAACCTGTAGGGCTTTGTCCTATAATCCTTTCATTTATGCTTCCAATAAACTGTTAAACATATAAAGTGACCCCTTGAGTTCTAAAACAAACAGTAATATGTGATCTAGGTTTATAAGAATTTTCAACTTGTAATCAAGTTTGGCAGAAACTTAAATGCCTACCCTTGGAAACCATTATATAATGTGATGAGTTTTGATATGAGTATTTAACCCCATAGTGTTATCGTTCTGTGTGGTATGAATAGGAATACCCGTCTAGGCTCATATATTTAAATACATGGACTCTAGCAAGTAGCACTATTAGGAGGTGTGGCCTTCTTGGAGGAGGTGTGGACTTGTTGGAAGAAGTGTGTCACTGGGTGTAGGCTTTGGTGTTTCAAGCCAAGCCGGTGTCTCTTTTCTTGCTGCCCATGGATCCAGATACAGAACTGCTAGGTTCCTTCTGCAGCACCTTCTGCCTACATGCTGCCATACTCCCCACCATGATGACAATGGACTAAACCTCTCAACTGTAAGCAAGCCCCAATTCAATGCTTTCTTTAAGAGTGGCAGTGATCACAGTGTCTCTTCACAGCTGTAGAACAGTGACTAAAACACATTCAAATAAGTTTGCTACGACGTCACCCTAGGTAATATCTATAACAACCTCCATAAGCCACCACTTCGATGATTTCCCAATACACATGATTTTTTGTTAATTTTTAAAAATTAATTATTAGTATTTTCCCCAGCCTGATCACAGTTTCTCCTCTCTTCTTCCTCTCCTCCCAGTCCCTTCCCCTAATCTCTCCTCTCTCCACCCACATCCACTGTTTCTACTTTCTCTCCAGAAAAGGACAGGCCTCCCATGTATAACAACAACCAGCCATGACATATCAAATTGCAGTAAGACTAGGCACCTATTAAGGTTGGACAAGGCAATTAAGTAGAAGAGAAGGATCCCAAAAGCAGGTAACAGAATCAGAGACAGCCTGTGCTCTCACTGTTAGGAATCCCGCAAGGAGACCAGGCTGTGGAACTATAACATATGGGCAAAATGCCCAGCTCAGCCCCATGCAGGCTTTTTAGGTGATGGTTCAGTCTCTGTGAGCCTCCATGAACCCATACACATGAATTTTTAATACATCATATTAGTAAAATATGACAGCACTGGTATGTGATGAAGTCTCCTTAATAAAGTACTTCTTATTAATCTATATTGTTTGAGGTCATTTGTTTTTATTGAGCAGGAGGCTTTCATTTGAACAGAAATAAACAATGATTGCCTATATTCCAAATGATTTGTTCTTAGGGTATTACTAGTTCGAGCCTTTAGGAACTGATTGACTACAAATACTTTTGTGTACTTTAATTTATTGATACGTCCTTTATGTTTGGCAAATTCCTAGGAATAGGATTTCATAGAATGGATGTATGTTTGGCTTATAACAAACTGATGTGATTTTTCCCACTTCACTCTGACTTCCAAGTCTGTGCTCTTAACTATCTTACTGAGTTGCGGGGCTTGACAAGATTCTATTCTTATCTAAATAGAATCTTTAAAGAAAGATAGTTCAGATCAAAATGATATAAACAAGAATATAAGAGCATAGACTATGTTACTAATTAGCCCACATTACTAATGTGGGAAATGGAGGCTGTGGTAAGAGATTGGGTAACAAATGTATCCAAATCTATTGGAAACTGTAAAGTCCTGCTTCAGGGCTACAAACAGGGTTCAGAAAAGAGATACACAGTGAAGCAAAATGGGACTCAGGACCTTTCTATCTGAGGGGTAGGAAATAAGTTCACATGTGAACTGTTCGGGTCATGGTCTTTATTATTCTGTCTATTCTGTCTTCTAAGTCTCTTTCTACAGCTTCAATTCTCTGTTTCAATTCTCTTTGCTTCTTTGTTCATCTAGCTTAAATACACTGATTTCAGGAGTCTTGAGGCAATAAGGAACAAAGTTACAAATGTTAGGAAAGAGAAGCACATCTTGAGAAACACTAAAAAAAATTCCGAAGGAATTTGGGGTTGACTATATATATATATTTTCCTAAAGACTATTAACTACTAAACAAAATTTGAGTAATTGGAAAGTTGATATTGCCCTTCACTAAACAGAGATCTTCAAAAATAATCAAGTTAGACCTATGAATCTGGAGGCATCAAGTATTTACTAACACACCTGTTAGAAATCACAAGAATTTTGCTGCAATACCTCATA